GTGATGGTGATGGTGATGGTGGTGATGCTGATGCTGATGCTGATGCTGATGCTGATGGTGTTGGTGATGGTGTTGGTGATATCGATGGTGAAGAGGAGGAGGAGGAGGAGGAGGAGGAGGAGGAGGAAAAGGAGAACGAGGCGGAGGACGGTGGTGATGATTGTGGTGGTGATGATGGTGATGCTGGATGCGGAGGATGGTGATGATGACGAGGAGGGTGAGCAGGAGGATAGGGAGAAAGAAGAGCAGGAGGGGGATGACGATGATAGTGATGGTGGTGGTGATGGCGATGGAGGAGGATTAGGAGGAGGTTGATGATAATGAGGAGGACGAGGAGGAGCAGGAGGATGAGGAAGAGAAGGAGCGTGGTGGTGATGGTGATGGCGATGACGAGGACCAGGATGAGGCCCATGATGATGATGAGGAGGACAATGATGGTTGTGGTGATGATGGTGATGGATGCGGATGATGATGTGCCAGGTAAGGATGAGGACCATGAGGATGATAGTAATGATGATGATGCTGGAGATGATGATGAGGATGATGAGGATCGTGGTGATGATGATAATGATGCTGTTGCCGATGAGGGTGTTGAGTATGCTGATGCGACGATGGTGATAATGATGGTAGTGGCAATTGGTGTGGTGGTGGTGGTTGTGTTGTGATGGTGATAGTAGTGGTGAGGTTAATGGTGATGCTGATGCTGATGCTGATTGCGATGACGAGGATGAGTACGATGATGATTATGAGGATGATGGTCATGAGGAGGAGGATAAAGACATTGAGGACGATGATGCTGATGATGGTGATTGTGATGGTGATGGTGGTGGTGATGCTGGTTAGGAGGATAAAGACGCGGCTGAGGAATGGAATGAGGATGCTGATAATGCTGATGATGGCGATCAGGAGGAGGGGGAGGAGAAGGGTGATGATGATGATGCTGATGATGATGATGATGATGTTGATGGTCATGAACATGATCATGATGATGGTGCTGGTGATGGTAACGAGGTTGATGGTGGTTGTTGTGAGGTTGGTGGTGCTGGAGATGGTGTGGTGATGGTTGTGGAGATGCTGATGGTGAAGGGAATGATGCTGAGGAGGACGAGGTAGAGGAGGATGCGGATGAGGGTGTGGATGGGGATGAACACGATGATGAAGATGATGATGCTGATGATGATGATGATGATGATGATTATGATTATGATGATGATGGTACTGGCCAGGATGATGATCAGGTCGATGAGGTTTTTGGGCATGCTGGTAACGGGCGAGGGTGACGATGATGCTGTGGAAACGGATGGTGATGACCGTGGTGATGACGATGATATTGACGATGATAATCATGATAATGATGAGGAGGAGGATGAGGAGCATGCTTCTACTGATGATGATGATGATGATGATGATGAGGATGATGATGATGATGATGATGATGATGATGATGATGATGATGATGATGATGATGATGATGACGAGAAGGATGAGTAGGACCAGTGCAAGCCCAAGACTCATCAACGATATTGAAACAAACCCTTCTCCCAAGGTCCCTCTTCATAGGCCCCTGCAAGGAGTCACTGTCACTGAGGGAAGTGTCCCGTTTAGAGACAACCGTTCGAAAATGCAAAACTGTGCCACCACACCATTCCTGACACTTCAGCGCCGCGAGTCACCGTTCTTGTTGCGTCTTGACGATCCTGAACCGTGCCAGTACA